TCTTATACACATCTAGATGTGTATAAGAGACAGGAGAGAGAGAGAGAGAGAGAGAGTCGCGTTGCTGATGTTCCGCGCGAAGGCCACTGGATACTTGAACTCTTTCATTGTATAATAGAATAATTGAGTGCAGTTCTTTGGTGCACTGATTTGATTTTCATCTTTCGGCTCTCCTGTGAACTCTCATGTGAATGTTGTGCTTATGCATGCTGTGATTTGGGGCTGTGATTTGGGGTTGAATTCCGGAGAATCATTGCAGATTGATTGATTTGATTGAGCCTGTTGCTTTTCTTCTTGGACGTTTCTCACCTAGGACCTAAGATCGACTAAAGCCATGACGCAGATGAGAACCAAAAAAAAAAGAAAAAGGCTTCAGCGCCGGCCTCACTCGCTCCACGATTTCCGGCCTCACTCCACCAAGCAACACTTTTATCGTACAATTTCCACACTCTATAAATGTATCTGGATATTTGAATGATCCCAACTCACTCAAGATGTTGGGGTCAGTCCCACTGTACCTGGACAACCCTCGGTGTTCAAGATACATTTACAATGTTGTGTACTTGAGCCAGACCCTTCTTTTTTTTTTTTTTTTCATTGTGGCCCTATGGACCACAGATCACATATTAAACTGACCAGAACAGATACTACACTTGATCTTAGCCAAAAGGCCGAGAAAGGTATTCAGACCCTTCTTTGTACTCGGTAGAGAGCGAAAAAGAAGACACTTTACTAGATCCTATGACACAAAATCGCACCTTAATTGCCAAATGGCCAATCAGGGCACTCACAGCACATGAGCAACAACCGTGGATGATACTTCTTCAACATTATTGAGCAAAAATGTGGCAGCTATCGGATCTGGCAGCAGTATGGAATGCTATTCTCATGCACCCTTTCACCTCGAAGCCCGCGGGCAACACCTGGACTCGTCTGCTCAAAGAATGGAGGAAGATGCTTCCCCAACCCCTCCACAACCCCAGATGCAAACACGACATCCTTAACACTTGCCTCGTTGAAAACCCACCCATTAGAAGTCAATCCGGACTTCCTTTCTCAGTTTCCAAGGCCGCAGGGAACTTTGGCCTGGGATGGATGCAGCGTCGCATTTGGCTCATCCGTCACATCTGGGATATGGAAGAAAATAACTGGAAATCCGTGGAACAATTTTTTGAAACCTGCTCTCGCAGGTTTACACCAGACCGAGAAACATCTCAAGTCTATTATCCAAGCAATTCCTGTCGAATGGACAGATATCCTTTCTACACTGGAGGCCGTCTTCAGAGAGCAGCAATGGCTCAGATGTAAGGAGGTCCCCCCCTCCTTCTACAGAGTTGAGGCGGTTATGGAGAATGGCACAACAGAGGCATCGATATGGGTTTTAAGTAACTCACGACTGGAACAGACCAAGGAAGCAAGGATGGTCTCGCTCGCAGGCCTGGAAGAAATCAGAGTTACCCAAAAGAAGTCCCACGGAGGCTCATCCTCCTTTCAGGTGGTTATGCAGGCCATCCCACTTAATGAATGGAAGATAGATGTCGACAGATACGGTTGGCAAGTGGCTAACACCAACGGCTCTGTCGACAAAATCCCCCTCTCAGACTATTCATCTCCGCTAGGCTATAAACTACAGTCAGAACCTCAGTCTCTTCAAACAGGCCTTTCCCTAAGTTGGGCTCGGAAGGCTTCCTCTCTCAGTCTACAACCTCTCTCTCCCAAGTGGCTCTTCTCCTTCATCCATCTACTACTCTCAACTATAGAAGTTAAGATTGGTGGTTTACAGTGGTTACATTTACATTCTTGTGTTCCCACCTCCCTGTGGTGTTCGGAAAAAGGAATGGACGTACCTGTTCTCTGTGACGCATGTTCCCACCCCTGTTTAGAAGATGGACTACACCTCTGGTGGGAATGCGTAATTGCTAGAGGGTTCTGGAAATTTCTCGGTAAGCTCTGGTTGGAGGCATACAACGCCAAGGACTTCTGGAACCAGGACATAGTCTTCACAGGCAGGGTGCAGCCCTGTTTCCATAAACAACAGGCAGAGAAGGTAAGTATCTTATTCAGAGCGAGAGCCTTCTGGCAAATTTGGATAGCCAGAAGGGACAGGAATTTCTTGCTACAATAGATCCTCTTCCTTCTCTTATTTGAAGTTATTTCCCAATTCAAGCATGCCATGCGACTAGATATCACAGCAGACTGGCATAGACTTAAGAACTCATCAATATCTGACGAGGTGGCGTCCTCGCAATTCCGTAAGAAATGGGCATCCCCCTTCCTTTGGGCAGACCTGGTCAAGGATAATAGGCTGGTCTACTCCAAGCTCCTATGAGATCATCGGCCCATCAGACCTTGAAACGCAATCTAATCTGGCCGCATCACAAATGCTGAGAGTGTCCCGTACAACCGCCTACCTCATCCACTACCTTTCCCCTCCACAGTCTTTCTTTGCAAATTCTCCCTTTCCTGTTTCTTATATTATCTCGGACAGGGCACTCCCGGTAGACTGTGAGGACCCCGGCCTCAGCTTTATTTTGCTATAAGGGACGTTGGGCCCGGTTCCCAACAAAAAAAAAAAAA